AAAAAAAAAAAAAAAAAAGAAATATTTTGAAAACACAGTTATTCAGAGAGTTTTAGGATTTTAGATATGTAAAGTTTTTTCATACCATGAATAGAACATGGTAAATATTATAGTTAATTAAATGTAAAATCTATTCTTTCCATAATGAATTTTTATGAAATGTCTTCTCTTAATTTATAGGGATCTTGGTTTTAAAAAGGACATGTATTTGAACAATAGCTTTCCAATTTCCAAATTGGTATCATTTAACTTATAACCAAATTATAGTGCTTTCTCCATTCTATGGCTATAAATCTGACCAGAATACCTGTCTGGTAACAAATGCTTTGAAACAAAGGTGTGAAATTAGTATAAAATAATTATAAACTACTACCTCAAACTATATGCATTTGCTGACACATTGAAATACTTGTTTTGTTTTGCCAGTATCTTCTAAACCAAATGTAGGGAATAAATTTTATAACTTCTAAGTTATTTTTTTCTCTTTTTTACCTGCTTCTTACCATATGACAATTAAGTCATGCTTTTTTATCTCCTTTCAAGTTAACAGTGCTAATTATATATTACAAACCACATTTTTTAGATCTTAAGGTAAAAGTCTTATAGACTTTAACAGAGTGAATTCTGCTGCCAGCATTGCAGATATAGGTGAAAAAAAATTAGATACCTAGTAACAGAATATGAAATACATTTATAAAATCATTCTGCAAATTATCTTAGCCCACTGATCTGTTGGAATCTTGTACGTCCAGTATGTGAAATAGAATTTTCTTTGTCTTATAGGCTTATTTTGCTGATGGCAATAAGGTAAGGACATATATTTTACCTATAATATATGAAAAAAGTTTCTATATTCCAAAATTTAGCATTCACAAACTTATGTGAAACCTATTTTTTTGTTTTTTTCCTCCTCTTTGCCCACCTTCTCGATTCCCATCTTATCCTCTTGTCTCCCAAAAAGCAACAAGATCGTGAACCTGTATTTTCAGAAGAACTGGGGCTTGCAATAGAGAAATTGAAGGATGGCTTCACCCTGCAGGGACTTTGGGAAGTAATGAGTTGATCTTGAGTTGAGATGGATTTCTATTTAAACATATCTCAAGTTTAAAGATACTAGTCACCTGCCATAAGTCATGGAATAGTTTTTATATTTACAACTTTTATATTTAAAGCTTTTAAGAGTTTTTAATGATTAAGGAAAAACTCATTTAGAAAACCTAGTTTTCTAAAAATTATATTTAAAATTGTAATCAAAATGTATCTTGTTTATAAATGTTTATTTTGTACTTAATGCCTGTAAAGTCTTAGTTTTCGGATATTGTGACTGTATCATGTTGGGTTTAATAAAGAATTTATGCAGCACCATTTAACGTTTTGAAAGTATTATTTAAACGAGAAAGACTGTTCTTATGGAATAATCAAAATTCTGCTTTCTTAATTATAAAATTTAATAATGGTTTAAAATTTAATATGGTTTAAATATATTATCCCATGGCTCCTGGCCAGGCATGGTGGCTCATGCCTGTAATCTCAACAATTTGGGAGGCCAAGGCAGGTGGATCACTTGAGGTCAGGGGTTCGCGAGACTAGCCTGGCCAACATGATGAGACCCCCGTCTCTACTAAAATATAAAAATTAGCTGGGCATGGTGGTGGGTACCTGTAGTCCCAGCTATCTGGGAGGCTGAGGCATGAGAATCAGTTGGACCTGGGAAGTAGAGGCTATAGTGAGCCGTGGATCACACCATTGCATTCCAGCTCGGGCAACAGAGCGAGACTCTGTCTCAATAAATAAATAAATAATCACATAGCTCCAAATGTGCACCAACTCTAATACAAACTGTAATTCTTACACTTGTCATTTTTAGGGATCATTTTTATAAAAACTAAAAAAAATTTTTTTAAGACGGGGGTTTCACCGTGTTGGTCGGGCTGGTCTTGAACTCCCGACCTCGGGTGATCCGTCCGCCTTGGCCTCCAAAGTGCTTGGATTACAGGCGTGAGCCACCGCGCCCGGCCAAAACTAAAAATTGTAACTATGGAGTACATCAACCACCCTGTGAAATATTTTGGATGCTATTTTGTAAAGAATTTCAATGTGGTTTTGTCAAGAATACGTTTACTTTTTTTTTTTTTTTTTTTTTTTGAGACGGAGTTTNTTTTTTTTTTTTTTTTTTTTTTGAGACGGAGTTTCGCTCTTGTTACCCAGGCTGGAGTGCAATGGCGCGATCTTGGCTCACCGCAACCTCTGCCTCCCGGGTTCGGTCAATTCTCCTGCCCCAGCCTCCTGAGTAGCTGGGATTACAGGCACGCGCCACCATGCCCAGCTAATGTTCTTGTATTTTTAGTAGAGACGGGGTTTCACCATGTTGACCAGGATAGTCTCGATCTCTTGACCTCGTGATCCACCCGCCTTGGCCTCCCACAGTGCTGGGATTACAGGCTTGAGCCACCGCGCCTGGCCACATTTACTTTTTAAAAAATAGTTCTGTTTATTAACTTTCTCTTTGTATTTATTGAAACTTCTTTGAGGTTTTCTTATTGACCTCTCTAGCATCATTGAGTGGTTTTGACCACTATTTCCATGTAAAACACATTGAAAGGAACCTTTTTCACATAACTGAAATTAGCCAATGGAGCCCTCTTCTTCCAGAGGGAAAAGTATGTAAAAACATCTAAAATAAGATGCAACTCTGTGTACAACCGTAGACATACCGTGCAACCAGGTGCTAACCTAAGTTTATTAAAAATCAATGAACAAAAGCTACAGATTGTTTTTTTATTTAAATGGAAAAGGATTTCTACATTTTAAGGGTTGAAATTATAATAAACTACCTTTATGACGGAGGGAAAGAGTGTATGAAAGTTTGTACTGGTCACAGATAAAATGCTGCCAGAACTATTGTTTAAATATTGTTTTTCAAGCAAAAGAGACTTTATAAAATTGCCGACTAGTAAGGAATAATCTCACGTGTCATATGGTGTTTGCAACTGACTCATTAATCTTTTCAAATGTTAGATGTTACGTGTAGAGAAATGAGTCATTTATTGTTTAAACAAGGAAGCAGCTGTTAGTTTTTTCTAGTGTGTTAAAACCTTTAGTGACATCTATAAATGGAAAAAGAGTCAATGAGCTCTTCTTTCAGCTGTTGTTTTAGCAGCTGACAGTACCATTGACTTCACTGTGATGTAAAATAAAAGCCTTTACTCATGGATAGAGACCTTGAAGTTTAAAAATACATAATTCCCTGATCTGGGGCATTCATTCATTCAACAAATATTTATGAAGCACTCACGAAACCCCTAAGCTATAGCATTTGAAAAGACACTCACACAATCCCTGTCTTCATGGAGTTTATGTCTTTTTGGGCATGTGTAAGAATACCAACCTTGAAATTATAGTATTTCCACAGCCCTACTTTAGATAATGTTCCAGTATGACTCTAATAATCTGTAATAAAGTATTTAATGAAGTATATGATACCATCTATATATAAACAAAGGACCAGTTTTCTTTCAAATCATGACTTCTACATCCATAATTAATATGGTATTCTATTATAATCAACAACATGTCCCCAGTTATATACTCTTTTTTTAAAAAGGTGGGGGCTGTTCTCTCTGACTGCTGTAGGACTTCATCTTGATTTCACTGTGTTCTAGTGATAACATTGTTCTCATGGGATTATATCTGTTCTATTTTTTAACCTTTAATGAATAATTTTTGGCACTTAAAATTACAGATTAGTGATCTTATTTGTATGTGTGTGGACTTTTTCATTCCATAGCATTGACTTTTAATTATTTTTTTTTCTGACCCTGTGATTCCTTTTAACCTTTTGCTTTTATTTTACCTTATTATTGTTTGCCACATTAGAGCCTTTGTACAACATGGCAGGATATGAATAAATAATTTTATAGTTTAATTCAATATTAGTTTTTCTACAGAATAAAAATAATTTGAAATGTTTTAGAAAATTAGCAATTCCTCTGCATTCCTTATTTCAGTTATCATGGCAACATTAAAGGTTTTGTAAAACTACAGTATATAAGTAAACATCTTTAAATTTACTATTTCTAAAAGAAATACCTATATCCTGTTTTGAGTAGAAAGTAAAAATTTGTATGTAACAATTATTGGAAATGGGATCTTGCTTATGAGCATTCAAATGAACACATCTCATATTCTTGACCTTCACATCATTAATTCACAGAGCCAAGTAGCTTGACACTAGAACGTATTTAGAGGAGTGATTCATTTTTATGATTCATTTTTCTGTTAATTCAGTAAACATTTTCTTGTAGTAGCCTTTATTAGTATATCGCCTAATGCATTATGTATTTTTAAGCTTTCAACTTCACTTAAATGTCTTGCTTCTTAGCTGTTTCCTTAGTGATTAAAAGTTCCAGTTGTTACTTTCAATCTATAACAGCTGCTACAACAACTTTTCTTTCCAAGCCAGCTCTCCTAAATTCCCGTTGTTAGAGTTGGTATCTATATTTAGCTGGTGGGATTAAATTGCAAGGTCTTCAAGCCCGGCAGAGCACACTGATCTCTGCCTTTTTACAGCTAGACCGCTAGACCCGTGTGCTACAAGGAGCTAAGGCCTTCAGTGTCCCCTTCCTTACCCAGGTTACTCGCAGAATGGATTCCCAGCGGGAACTTGCAGAGGAACTGCGGCTTTACCAATCTACCCTTCTTCAGGATGGTCTAAAAGATCTCCTGGATGAGAAAAAATTCATCGATTGCACCCTAAAAGCAGGTGACAAAAGTCTTCCCTGCCACAGATTGATTTTGTCAGCTTGTAGTCCTTACTTCCGTGAGTACTTTTTATCTGAAATTGATGAGGCGAAAAAAAAGGAGGTAGTACTAGATAATGTGGATCCTGCTGTACTTGATTTAATCATCAAATACCTGTACTCTGCCAGTATTGATCTCAATGATGGAAATGTGCAAGATATTTTTGCATTGGCCAGCCGCTTTCAAATCCCCTCAGTGTTTACTGTCTGCGTTTCTTATCTTCAGAAAAGACTTGCTCCTGGTAACTGTCTAGCCATCCTAAGATTAGGACTTCTTCTTGACTGCCCGAGACTCGCCATTTCGGCCCGTGAATTTGTATCTGATCGCTTTGTACAGATTTGTAAGGAAGAGGACTTTATGCAGCTGTCTCCACAGGAACTGATCTCAGTCATTTCAAATGACAGCCTAAATGTAGAAAAAGAAGAAGCAGTATTTGAGGCAGTGATGAAATGGGTGCGAACTGACAAGGAAAACAGGGTTAAAAACCTTAGTGAAGTGTTTGATTGTATCCGTTTTCGCCTTATGACAGAAAAATATTTTAAGGATCATGTTGAGAAAGATGATATAATTAAAAGCAACCCAGAACTCCAGAAAAAAATCAGAGTTCTAAAAGATGCTTTCGCAGGCAAACTCCCAGAACCTAGCAAAAATGTGGAGAAGTCTGGGGCTGGTGAGGTGAATGGTGATGTTGGTGATGAAGATTTACTTCCTGGTTACCTGAATGACATTCCCAGGCATGGAATGTTTGTAAAAGACCTCATCCTCATGGTTAATGACACAGCAGCAGTGGCTTATGATCCCACAGAAAATGAATGCTATCTTACTGCACTGGCTGAGCAGATTCCCAGAAATCATTCCAGCATTGTTACTCAGCAAAATCAGATATATGTGGTAGGAGGACTATATGTGGATGAAGAAAATAAGGATCAACCTCTACAGTCATACTTCTTCCAGGTAAGAAGGACTTTTATATACACAGTTGCTTAAAGGGAAGGCTGTTATCATCCAGTTAGCTAATTTGTGAATTATTCAGGCTGCTTGTATTTTACTCTAATTGATGTCCTCTAAATGATGCCCTTGCACTTTTGCTGTTTAGAGAGTTGACAGAAAAATATTTGACTGCTTTGTTTTTTTTTTTTTTTTTT